TTTGCCTTGCCTCTGGGATAGATGCTCTGCTGCACTGATGCTCAATGTGTTCCAGCATGTAGAGCACAGTATTTGGGGAACGAGTTTGGGATGAGACTTGCCTTGAGTTCCTTTGTGCTTCTAAGCTTCAGTAGGAGCCGTCTTCTGATGGGTGCAGTGGGACAGCTGCTCTCTCCACATCCTGAATATCTTTGCATGAAAAAGCTGGGACCTGGTGCTCTTTTTGAGTTCAGATACCAGCAGCCTGGAAAAGCCATACATCCAGCCAGGACTGTCGTTGACACAGGCTGTCCCTGTTGGATGAACACCCTGTGCCCTTCTTCTTCCTAGTGGTCATCTGCCACTGACATGGCTCAAGGACGTGCCTTGGCCAAGGCTGGTCCTTGCCGTGAGCCGTGTTCAAGCTGGCCACCTCTTTGCAAATAGCCTGTGTTGTGGTTGGGTTCTATGGCTGCTGGCCCTGCAGGGACATGGTTTCCTGCCTCAGCTGTTGTTCTGAAGGTGATTTTAGAAGCGCCAGGGCTTCACAGCAGGAGAAAACCATCACTCAGCCCTTCCAGGTATCACCTTGTCCTGGGTTATTCCACTTTATGAAAACTCCAAGAGGTCCCGGTTGGCAAGTTGCAGCTCAGGCAGCCTGGAACTTGGTGCTTTGACTAAAAGGGGCATCTTAGGGGATAAGGCAGGTGGCACCCTCCGTCCCTGCTGATGGTCATGGGACCCAGTCTAAGGGCTGAGAGCAGCTCTGCTGGCCCCCCAGCACCTTCCTGAGTCTCTGGTAGGGCAGAGAAATACTAGGTCCAGTGAAGTCCTGCATGGTGCACAGAACAGCTTTCTGCTCCATCCTGGAGCTTTTGCCTGGTCCAGAGTGGCGGTAGAGTGGTTGATGTGCACACTCCAAGGAAGCCACCAAGTCTTTGCCTCTTGCCCTTGCTTTGGAGCAGCGGCTTTGTCATTTTGACATGACACTTGAGGCATGTGGAGAAGCCCTGCCTGCAGTGGGCACCAGCACCCATCCCCATCATAGAATCCCAGACTGGAAAGGACCTTAAAGCTCATCCAGCTCTGACCTCCTGCCATGGGCAGGGTCACCTTTCACTAGACCAGGTTGTTCCAAGCCCTGTTCAGCCTGGCCTTGGACACTGCCAGGGTTGGTCTCCCATTGTAGATGCCTGGTGCGAGATGGCAGGGCTGGGCTGGGATGGGTAGAGCTGCTCTTCTCATACCCTTTCCACGCTTCAGGCAGAACCACCTCTGGGGGCTGCAGGACAGGAGTAGGCCATAGACCTGCAACTGTTGAAGGGTGGTGCCATGGGGAGATGCTGGTCTCCTGGCTGGGAGGCAGCGGTGGGGTGTCCTGCTCCCTCGGGTGAAGCTAAGACTGAGGAGAAGGGCTGGGCAGCAATGCTGGTGGCTGTGGGCACCATCGCTTTCGCTTTGCTTCTTTGCTCAGGCGGCAAATCTCATCTGACGGGGCAGGAAGAGGCACCGAGCGAGCACCAGGAAGGGGAGGAGGCACCTCTGCGCTTCCTCCCAGCAGGCGCCTTCCCCGTGGCGCCCAGGGATGCTGCCTGGAGCCCTGCATCACCCACACCCCAACCCAGCCATGGCCACATCCCACAGAGCCATCCCTGCTGAGATCCAAGGTAAAGCATCATTGTTGCTGGGGCACCATGGAGATGGGCAGCACAGTGCGGGGCCTCCTCAGCCCTAGTTTGCTGTGCTGAGGGTGGCAGAGATACTTTCGGGTTCTCATCATCACCAACAGTGGTTCAGGGGGGTCCAAGCAGGGCACGAGGCTGCTGTTGTCCCCAGAGCTCAAGTGTTGAGGATGGTGCTTTGGCCAGAAGCATCCCTAGATAAGCATCCCTGGCTCCTCAAGGACATGGCTCTGCATGGCTCAAACTGTTGTACTTGTCGGTGCAGCTCCCTGGGGAGGCACAGCCTCAGTTCCCCAGCAGCACAGGGGAGGTGTGAAATAACCCTGCTTCTGGCGTTCTCTCCTTTGATTGAAAAAACAAAATCTCTTGGGGTCCAGCAGCCTCATCAACTCCAACAAGGGGTGGAAAGGAGCCATGTTGCTGCATCCCCATGTCCCAGCTCCGACATAGTGGGTTCCTAGGATGTGTGGCTCAAGCCACTGGATGCAGGGCTCGGTGTCATTGTGAAAACCTGGTTTGCATTGGATGGTGATGGGCAGTTGTGGTTCTGGTGCCATTTCTCTGAGGTGGGAATGAGGAGAGGTAGGGTGTGATGCTCCCACTGGTCCATAGTGACTGGTTTGTAGACATAGGGAGGTTGGTACCACAACTACCCGTGCAGGTCACATCTCCAAAAGATGGAAATGTGGAATAAATCCCTGGGTACACTGTGAGGAGGAAGCACTTGGGTGCAGAGTTGCTGCTCTGTGATATATTGGGGAAGGAAGGAAGAGAAACCAGGATCCTCCTGTTGCTAAGCACCAGCTCCCTGTGAGCAGGGCAGCACGTGAACATAAACCAGTGACCCCAAATCCTTGTGCTTGGTCATGGCTGCAGAAGATGATGGGGAGGTGGGTTTATCACCTGAGCGGCTAACAAGACCCAAACCCAGTGTGGAATGTGGCTTAGCTGAGAGAGGAGCAACTACAGTCTGATCATCAGTTGTGGATGGAGAGGGGCTGATTGAGGTGGGGGTGCAGGGGATGGTGTCCACAGGGACAGCAGGGCTGGTGGGAGCAGAGCAGGGGTGTCCCATCACTTCATGTGGACATTGATCTTCTTAGAGGGCATCACCACCTTCCTGGGGACAAAGGAGGTCCTTCTGATGATGAGCATCCAGCTGCAGGTGAAATCCAAGTACGACAACTACATCTTGGTACGTGCAAAGTCTGGCCCGGCTCCTCCTTTCCCAGTTTCCCCAGGCAGCTGTTCCATGGCTGCAGCAGGGAACAGGGGTGGCTCCTGTGTCACCACTACCTGTTGTCACACTAATGTCACACTGATGTCCCCTGCTTAGGTGCTGACGCCCTGGCGAGCCTATGTGCTGCCAATGACACTGCCAGTGAGGGTAAGCAATGGGTGGCTTCCAGGAGGGATTTGCTTGGGGCACCCATGGGGCACCCAGGCCACCAGGTCTGGGAAGCCCCCTGGATGAGGATGAGGATGGGGTGAAGGGGAGGAGGGTGGGTAAAGGCTACAAGGGCATAGCTGGGCACTCCTCAGGGTATGGGGAAGGATGGGAGCTGTGGGGCACCATTGGGTCCCCCTTCTCCATCAGTGCTGGAGCCGATCCTGCTCCTCTCACCCACAGGTTCACAGCAGCTTCAGCTTCCTAGAAGTGAGGGAGATGACTGTGCGAGAGCCCAGCTTGGTGAGTGGCACCAATTGCTGGGACAAACCCCACTGGGGACCCACCACCTGCCATGGCAAACCCTGACCTGGAGCCCACCACGGTGCCTGGGGGTGTCCTGTTCCCCCATTGTGCATCAAGGGTCACCAGTGATGACCTGTGAGAACTCCACAGGGTATTTATCTCTGAGACACCCCTAAAGAAATCCACTTATGGCCTTGCCCAGGTTATTATCTAGCGGCTGGAGGTGCAGGGAGGCACCCATGGCTGCTGGGGTGAGCATGGATGCCTGTTCCCCTCCAGCAGACAGTGCGTGGCTGTGGCACCTTGGCTCAGCAGGGACAAGGTGACAAGCAGCTGCTGGCTTACCGAGGCAAAGCCAAATTTAGCAGGAGGGTGTTTTAAACCCCAATAATCCTCTTAGGAGGAGGCGTGAGCAGAGGGCAGAAGTGGCATGTGGGAATTGCGGAGGAGAGGAATGGGATGCCCTGGCTTGGATGTGTTGGCCAAAAAAGAGTCATGGTCCTCCTCAACCTCTTGTCTGTCTCATTAAAGCATCAACAGTGCCTGTGTCCCCAGCCTCCAAACAGGGTTTCTGCTGCGTGGCTGAGCTCCAGGGGAAAAATAAAGGGAAGCTGGGTAGAGAGTGAGGGGTGCTGGGGGTGAGAGCCCAGGGTGGATGGGGTGAGGCAGCTGGCTGGACTATCAAGAGCCCAGGAGTTGTTACCCTACAGGCAGAGCACTGGGCAGCAGTGGAAGCTCCATCCTCCAATGTTGCCAGCAGATAACTGTCATCCCGCTCCCACGCCTCAATCAGCCTGTAATTAAATCAGGGAGCATGTTGCCATGGGATTTTTTTCCTGGTAGGAACTAAAAGAGCCTCAAAACCTAATTAGATAAATTCAAGGAGGAAACCTCCATCCTCCAGCTGAGGCAGAGTCAAGACTGTTCTTACCCTGCTGTCTTGGGCTGCTGCTGTGTTAGCTTAGCTTGAGTTCTGGAGAGGTTTCTGCCTTATTCCAGCACTTTTTGATCTCTTTAATGTATTTTGTCTTAAATTCTTGGTGCTCTCAGCCTCCCCTGTGCTCACAGTGCTCAGGTGGGGTTTGTAAGCAGCTCCTGGTTGTCTGCAGTGAGGATCTGGCAGCTGTCACCACTATGTCTGGGGGCTTGGGGACACTGTGTGCTGCCAGTTCACTTGGGCATTTCCCACCCTTTGCACCCCGTAGGTTGTCATAGAAACAGATGCAGCGTCTCATGCCTTCCAGTTCATGTCCTCTGATGATTTGGAGCAAGTTGTCATCCACGTCACAATGTCTCTTAAGAAGGTCTTTCCAGACTCATCTCCTGGGTAAGGGTCTTCTGCTCCTCAGGGGTAGCTGTGCAGGTGCCAGAGCAACCTCTTTGCTCAGAAAAGCCCCAGGTAGGGGATCATAGAATCACAGAATGGTTTGGGTTGGAGAGAACCTTAAGATCACCCAGTTCTAACCCCCTGCCATGAGCAGGGACACCTCACACTAGACCATGTCACCCAAGGCCCATCCAGCCCGGCCTTGAACACTGCCAGGGATGGAGCATCTACCACTGCTGTTCCAGTGCCTCACCACCCTCACAGTAAAGAACTTCTTCCTTATATCTAACCTGAACTTCCCTGTTTAAGTTTGAACCCATCACCCCTTGTCCTATCACTACAGTTCCTGATAAAGAGTCCCTCTCCAGCACACTTATAGGGTCCCTTCAGATATTGGAAGGCTGCTATGAGGTCTCCACACAGCTTCTCTTCTCCAGGCTGAACAGCCCCAACTTTCTCAGCCTGTTGATATGTTCACACTAGTCCCTTTTAATAGGAGAAACCCAACATGATGGAGGCCAGACCCCACTCCCCGATCGCATCGGGAAGGATGTTTCTGGCCACTCTACACACAAGGACTGTAGCTAAGCATAAAGTGGTGAGGATGCTTTTCTCCCAGCCCACCATCACACACTCCTTTGGTCCTTCCCCAGGACACTGCTCAAGAACTACCCACCCAAGCTGTATGAGAGAATCCAGTGGATCACGGACTCACTGGAGGAGATGCTGAAGAGCAGCCCTGCGCCCTGTGGTGAGCCTCCAGCACCTCCCCATGCAGGACCACAAGTGTTGGAGCACCCTGAGGACCATCACAGCTTGGTGTCCTTCAGTTTAGGTCAAAAGGAGCCCTGCTAGTGGGGTCTGCTCCCCACCAGCCCATCCATGGGGCAGGGGCAGAAGCAGGACTGGGGGGAGGTAGTTCCCCAGAGAGGAGCAGGGTGGCTGTGAGGCAAGGATGCTTGATGTCCACCCATGAGGGACATGCAGCTGTGGATGCTTCCACCTACTTCATATAGCATGGCTGCAGAGCCAGGGGCTTTTCCTGAAGCCTGGTATGGAGTAGGATACCCCCATTGTCATCACAGCAATGCATTTTGCCTGGTATCTACATGGATCAAACAAAGCAAGATAGAGCCCCCTGGGTTGTGGAATTGCTTTTGGGCTGGCAGTAGACCACATAGGACACTCTAGTCTCTTTGAGGAGGGAGGCGAGAGGTCCCAACATCCCTCTTCTGCTTCCTGCTCTTCCCAAGGGTCTCCTCCATGTTCCCATGGGAAGGTTTGCCACCAAACTTCCTTCTTTCTGCAGGGGGGTTCTCGGAGACCTATGCTGCTCTGTGTGATTACAATGGTTTTGCTTTCCGTGAGGAGATACAGTGGGTAAGCTGCTCTGTCCCATGGAGAAGAGCCAGTGGTCATGTGTCACTTGGTGGGCAGGGAAGCAGGATGCTCATGGGTGCCTCTACTCCATTCAGCAGCCTCATGGAGCTGCTGGGGCTGGGACACCCTAGAGCTGGGAACTGCAGTTTTGCCTGGCTTGAGTGTTCCCTGATCCTCAGTGGGGTAGAATCAAAGTGCAGATGAGAATGAGATGCTTTGGATCAAGTTTCCCAGGCTGTCACGTAAGGAGAGCCCCTGGAAATCTGTGGCCTTGCTGGGTGTCCCTAGCAGAGGAGAACTCCTCTGGGACCCAGCCACGGCAGGTCCTCCTCTTCCTCTGGACTCTGACTCCAGCCCTCCTCTCCTCACACCCTCATTCCCACCAGCCTGAGGGTGCTCTACCTTCTGCTGGCCAGTTCCTGCAGAGTGGTCCAGCACCCACCGAGCCATCCCACCAATATGTGACGTGTGCCCTGCCAGCCATAGCGGGGGGGAAAGGAGGGGGTGTTAGGCTCAGGCTTTAGGGAAGGGTTTCCTAGGGTAGGGCACCCAATGGCCCAGATCCTTCCAGTGCCACTGGGCACCCAAGCCCTCCCCAGGGCCATGTGCTGAGCCTGATCCATGTGTCCATCCATCTGAGCAGGACGTGGACAACATCTATCACAGCCAGGACTGCCGGGAGTTCAACCTGCTGGACTTCAGCCACCTGGAGAGCCGGTGAGTGCCCATCCATGCTGCCCATGGAGCCCATGTCACACCAGTGCTTGCCCTCATCCTTCCTACCCACAATAGGGGTGGCCCAACACACTCCTCCGCTCACACTAGAAACTTTGTTCACTTTACACGCTCCAGGGCCGCAGCATCTGCAGGCTGATGCCCCCCCACACCAAACTTGGTGAACCCCATGCCATGGGGCCATGGTCCCAGGAGGCTGGGCTGCATCACTGTTCATTTTTAACACTTAAGTAAGCCCATGAGCTGCTTGTGGAGGTGAAACCCAAACGTCACAGCAGCTTCTCACCACTGTAGCTGTCAGGAGTTTCCATATGCAAAGCAGCCAGTGCTGCTCTCCCCCAGCACCCCAGACATCTGTTACAATCTTATAATGATTCAGCTTTATAATTATAATAAAATAGATAACAGATAATCTTATAACAGAGCCATGAGCTCAGGTGGTGCCCGGTCTTGTCTCATCCATGTCTCCATCCCAAGAAAGATGGAGCAAGGGCTCAGTTCTGGGAGAAGGCAACAGCTGTGCTTGAGTCGAAGTTCTCAGCTGAGAATTTTGGGAAACAGGATCTGTGTTCAGTTGGCCAAAAGGAGATGGGTTTAGAGGTTTCTTTGGACCAGGAAGTCAAAAAGAAACTTTTTTCCACCCGAGCAAAACCTGTGTTGTTCTTTACACAGAATTAAAAACACCAGAGGCATGCAAATAATTTGGTTCATTTTATTCTCCCTGAGGGAATAATCTGGGGAAGGTGAGCTGTGTTTGTGGGTCGCTTTAAACTCATGGACCCCCAATCCTGCCCTGTTGAACACTGTATTTGGGCTTTCTGAGGTTGGGTGTCTTGGGGCACCTGTTTGGGACCAGACTTGTCCCAGCCTGGTCCCTGACTCCCTTGTCCTTGTCACCCTCCAGAGATGTGGCGCTGAGTGTGGCCGCTTTGTCCTTCAACCTGTGGTTCACCAAGCTCTCCTGCAAGGACTTCAGGCTGGTGAGTACCAGCGCTGCCGCTCTGGGCACACTGGAGGAGTCCAGGTTTCCACAGGGATTCTCTTCCCCCCTTGACAGAACCAGGAGATCTTGGAGCAGCTGCTCTACATGCTCAGCAAATCCGTGATGCTGGAGGAGCTGGTGCTGGAGAACAGTGGGTTGAAAGCGTAAGCAAAGGCATTGCAGGGTGGATGAGCAGGGTCTCAGCAGCCTGGTGGTGGTCCCCTCACATGCATGGAGAAGAGAGGTCCCTGGACCTCTGTGCCAACGGGCTGCTGGTGCCCCATGCCCTCCACAGCATGGAGCTCCCTGGCAGCAGATACCCTGGAGGCCAGCAGACATCACCCACGCTTGGAGATGCTCTGCTTTCTCCTGCTGGCTCCTCATATAGAGGAGCCAGATAGAGATGGTTCTGCCACAGAGGCAGGAGCTGATGTCACATCCCCATAAGGCTGCAGGGTTGGTGGCCATGTGTCCTGGAGGTGGCTGTACCTTGGTCAGATGGGTGACCGTTCTTCCCACAGGGACTTTGCACAGAGGATGGCCCAAGTACTCAGCAACCATCCCGACTCTGTCCTGCACACCATTAACCTTGCTGGCAACCAGCTGGAAGACAGAGGTACCCAACTTAGAATCACAAAGTCAGCCAGGTTGGAAAAGACCTTTAAGATCACGAAGTCCAACCATTTGGCAGCATTGCCAAGGCCACCACTAAACCATGGCACTGAGGGCCTTTTCTACACGGATTGTGAACACGTCCAGGGACAGTGACTCCACTATTGCCCTGGGCAGCCTGTTCCAATGCCTGACCACCCTTTGGGGGAGAAATTGTTCGTAATATCCATTCTAAACCTCCCCATGAAAACTGATGTTCAAGTCTGGATCCCAGCAGCAGTTCCCCCCTGCCGTGGGGCTGTAGCTCAGGGTGGGATACACACCACCTCAGGGCTCTCTGCTCTTTCATCAGGGATCGCTGCCTTCAGCCGGCACGTGGAGAAGTGTCCCAAGGGTCTGCAGAGCCTCAACTTGGCCAGGACAATGCTCACTGCTAAAGGTAGCGCCCAGCATCCGCTCACTGCCTGTGTGCTGCTGGAAGGCTGGGCACGGCAGCACTTGGGGTGAAGCTGGCACCAAAGGGCTGGCTGAAGGGGCTGCAGGGACACACTGGAAAGGGCATCTTCAGGGATGTGATGTCCTGCTGTAGGAAAGTGCCCCTTCCTCTGCTCCATGGCTCTCCCCATTGCAGAGGACCTGTGGGCATCCATCTCTCCCCCTCTCCTTGAGCAGGGATGAGCATGTTATGCAAGGCCCTCGCAGATAACAAAGCCATTGGATCCTCCCTCCGGCACTTGGACCTCTCAGGAAACCCTGGCTCCCTGGCTGGGGACGATACCAGTGTGAGTGCTGCGATGGGGGTGACACCACCTGAGCTGTGTCCCCAGCATGGCTTGGATGGCTTCAGTCTCCTGGGTCTGCATCCTGCCTTGCAGAACCCCAGGGATGGGGAACTCATGTTTGCAACACCTCTTTTCCCACTCTGGAGCAGCAGGGGATGCACTGGGGACATCCTGCTGCATCTGCTTGCGGGAGAGTGGGAGATGGAGCAAGGATGTGAGCAGTGTGGGGCTGGGAGCAGTGTGGGGCTGGATGAATCCCCCTGCAGGATTTGTCCCTGTGCACTGCAGGAGAGAGGGGGCAGGCTGGAGATGGGATTTATGGCCTGCAGGGTGCTGGAGGGGGGGTTCAGGGTGCTGGCCAAAGCCACTGAGCCCTCTCTGCCCACAGAACCTGCAGATCCTCCTTCGCCAGTGCCACTCACTGTCCCACCTCAGCCTGGCCAGCACGGACTGCCCCTTGGATGCTGTAAGTACCCATGGGGAGGGTCCCAACAGTGATGCCTCCCCAAACCCATGTGCTGTTGGGGGTGCTACCACTCCATCCTGCTTGGCACAGGGCTGTGGATACAAGGGTGTATGTGGGGCAGCCCAATGATCTCCCACTCTGTGCCCGCTGCCACGGGCAGGTTGGGGGTCTTGGGGCTCAGCAGAAAAAAGAGGGGAGCCCCAGCATGGGGCAGACTCCTTTAGCACCCCTGATACCTCACCCCACACCATCCTTGGGCTGCGTGAGGGGCTGGTTCCTCCTCAACATAGCTCACATGCCCACCCCGGCAGGTCTTCGGAGCCCTGGCCCGTGGATGCCACACCAGCCTCGTCTATCTGGATCTCTCCAAAAATGTGTATTCCCACAAGTAAGGCCCTGGGATGGTGGGGAGGGGACTGTGGTGCCCAGGCAGGTGCTGGGTGGCAGATGATGCCATGCTGTGCACATCCTTTTCAGGAGGGTGAAAACCACCTCTCCTGGCATCAAGGAGTTTTTCAGCCAGGCCTGCGTCCTCAGGCACGTCTCCCTGGCGGGCACCAAGCTGCCAGCAGATGCTGTAAGGTGAGGGGGGGCTGTGAGTCCACCAAGGGGAATGGATTTGGGGTGAGCATGGTCTTGAGGGTGGAGCTTGCTCAGGGCTTTGCATGTTAAGAGGGCTGGTGAAGAGGATGGATGGGGCAGTGAAAGGCAGAGCTCTGGGAACAACATGCCAGGGGAGGTTTAAACTGGAGATTAGGAACAATTTCTCCCTGAAAGGGTGGTCAGGCATTGAAACAGGCTGCCCAGGGAAGTGGTGGAGTCACCATCCCTGGAAGTGTTCCCAAATCATGTAGACAAGGCCCTCAGTGCCATGGTTTAGTAGCGGCCTTGGCAGTGCTTCAGAACAGTTGGACTTATGATCCTGAAGATCTTTTCCAACCTGGTTAATTCTATGACTCTGTGCTGTCTTCTCCAGCACCTGCTCCCACCGCCGGTGCTGGTGCCCCTGTTGCTCGCACTGATGTGTGGCTTTGGTGGCTTTTCCAGGGTGCTACTGCAAGGGCTGGCAGACAACAGCCACATCAGTGACCTGCACCTGGATCTCAGCAACTGCGAGGTGAGGGTCAGCACCCACAGGTGCCCAGCCCAGCCAGGGGGTCTCATTATGGCGCTCAAGGAGGTTGCTCCATGTGTGGGAAGCTCCATGCCCCTCCGCCCTGGGACTGGGGTGACCTTCCCGATGGCAGAATCTCATTTACAGGGCTTCCACCTCCCCTTGTACTGACATCTTGCTGTTTCTCCACAGCTGAGATCAGTGGGGGCGCAAGTCATCCAGGATCTCATCCCTGTCACCAGCTCCATCAGTGACCTGGACTTGTCTGACAATGGTAGGTTGCTTCTTTCCTGCCTGGGAGAAAGTCTCCTCCATCTGCAGGTCCAGCCACCACGGACCAGCTCAGTGCTGGAGGCACCTTGTGAGCTTGTAGGAGGCCCCAGGGAGATGGGTAGGGTCTGCTGTGCTCACTGCCTCTTGACAGCACTGGCTAATGCAGCATTCAACTGCACTTATCACTCACGAATATCCTTCAGCAGAAGAAGCTGCAGCACTACAGGCTGTGTCTCATGGGAGTCAAGGCACACAGTGGCCAGCAGAGGATTCCTGCCTGAGAAATTGCCACCTCATCAGGCTTTTATGGCTTTTTGCTCCCAAAACCAACCTTCCCCAAGGCAGGCAGTCCTCACATGTTCACTTCTCCCTCTGCTGATGTCCTTCCCTGCATGCCAGGCCTCTTTGATCACTTTCTAGAGCTGCATCCCATGTGGGCAGTGGTGGTGGTGGCCCTGGTTTAGTGGAAGGTGTCCCTGCCTGTGGCAGGGGGTTGGAACTGGGTGAGCTTTAACGTGCCTTCCAACCCAAACCAGTCTGGGATTCTATGAAACTCTTCTGACCTCTCTGCAGGGGTTTGCAGCCTCTGCTGATAACCTTGTCCTGTCCTGGCCTCCATGGATGAGCAGTCCTAATCACCACAAATATTATCTCTGCCAGCTCTTAATTTCACCTGAAAGGCCCCAAACCTTAAAGCAGACTATGCAGCTCAACAGCCAGATGCCTCTGGGAATGCTGAGGTTTGGAGTTCTTTGAAAACCTGTCCAGGCCACCAATGCTCCGGCAGCTCACTCTCGTGCCCAGAATCTCAAACCAGCCCTTGACAAAATATGCTTTTGTTTGTTGCCTTCCCAGTAGAGCAGCTCTGTGCAGGAGGGACAGTCCCATATATGGGTCTTGATGACTCTGCAGGTCCCTGATGAGGGACTACCTTGCTGCCACCTTTGTGAACTGCTTGGAGCATCCTGGTGAGCATCTCCCATGTCTCACAGGCTTTGACCCCGACATGGTGACGCTGGTGCTCTCCATAGGCAGAAGCAAGTCCATTAGGCACGTGTCTCTGGGGAAAAACTTCAACATCAAATCCAAGTAAGCACAAATCTGCAGCACGCGGGCCAGGAGCCATCCTGGCACCCTGCACCCACCTTGACTCTCTCTGCCCATGGGATGGTTGGGAGTGCCAGGGATCACCATCCTGCCTGCTCCTACCCGACAGGGAGTCTAGGGCAGTGGGGGAACCATCTCCTGCTCCTGTCACAGTCCTCATGGGACCACAGGAACAGGTCACAGCCTCAGGAGCATGAGCAGGAGGGAGGATGGAGCTCTGCCTGCTGCCCCTGTGGCTGCGGGGATGCGGTGAGATGCATGTGTAACCCTGCCTTGACTCTCCCTTGCCTATCCCACAGGGAAGGGCTGTTGGATGTCCTGCACCGTATTGTCCAGCTCACCCAGGAGGATGACTGTGTAAGTCCAGCTTGTCCTCAATCACCCCATCCTGTAGCCTTTGTACCCCAGGTACCATCCAGATCCCTCCCAGCACAGACTGAGAGCAAACCTATCTCCCTCCCACTGCCATTAAAATCCTTTTGCTCTTATTCTCCTGGGTCTGAAGCAGATGCTCAGACAGAGAAGCGAGAGCAGTTCCTGTTCATCTGGGAAAGCGGGAGCCTGTGTCTGGCTGAAGAAACAGAGGAAATGCTTGGTGTAACCTGGCTGCAGGCCCAGCTTCCCAAAAAAACCTCTTTCCTCTTTGCTGCCTGCCAGGGATCTGAGCTAAATCCAGGGGGTTGCCTCAGCACCCGTCACTATCCTCTTTCTTGGGGTTCAGTGTAACATGGGCTCTCCAAATCCAGCTCCAGTTGCCCACAGTGGCTGCCAGACAAGAAGGGTGTCTGTGTCTGCAAGGGAGACATGTCCTGACATGCCCTGGCCACCTCTCCCCCTCCTTGTCCTCTTTTAGCCTCTCCAGTCCCTGTCGGTGGCCGAATCACGCCTCAAGCTGGGAACCAATGTCCTGCTGAGTGCCCTGGGCAGTAACACCAGCCTCACTGCTCTGGACATCAGCGGCAACGCCATGGGGGACACAGGGGCCAAGATGCTAGCCAAGGCCCTGCAGATCAACACAAAGCTCAGGTAGCTTTACAGCCCCTTCCGAAGTCCAAGTTTAGGTTTTGCACATTGAGGTCCAGATTTTTACCCCCTTTTTTCTAGGATTTCTGGTGCCTGGAGTCAGCCTTGGGCTCACTCTTCCTGGTGCACCCATGTGTGGGCACCCACCTTGGGGCTCTGTGAGCGCAGGCAGGGCTCACTCAGCTCCTTCTCTTTGCAGGACTGTGGTTTGGGACAGGAACAACACAACTGCCCATGGGCTCCTGGAGGTGGCTCAAGCTTTGGAGAGGTAAGGAAGGAGCGATTTGGTCCTCCTGGGTTGTACCACCACACAAAAGAGCCAATGGCACCCAGGATGTTGCCATCCATAGGGCCTCTTGTCCCCCTGAACCAGTGAGTGCATCACACAATATACAGGTCCCAAGGCAGTTGGTCCACAGCTTGGGCCTTGCAGCCAGCAAAACAACCTGCCACCCATTTGGTGATGTCGTCTTCATTACCCACCTCAGGGTCTCCCATGGCTCTGCATCCTAACCTAGGACACAAGGCAGCCCTCAGCAAGCATGGGGAATCTGCTGTTGGTGGAGATGTGATGCTCCCCTCCTCTCTGTACATGAAATATGGGTAGAGGTTGTCCACCTGCTGAGTGCACCATTAAGTATGGTATTTCGCCATGCAGGTCCACTAGAGGTGTGAAGAAAGATGGGTGGGTGGAGAGCCTGGAGGGTAGTCACCGCTGCCCTGTTGGGGCTTGCTGACGGCAAACCTTCTCCAGATCCATCTCCAGGGCTGGACCATGGGATAATGTCTGGGCTGCTGTTGGGTGGGGTGCTATATGTGTGGGAACATGTACAGTGGGGATGAGCCCTATGAGACTGATGGAGGCTCACCATGGCTCCACGAGGTTCACCTCTCACAGGAACTACACCCTCAAATGCATGCCCTTGCCAATGAGCGATGTGGCACAGGCGTACCGCAGCCACCCTGAGAAGACGGAACAGGCAGTGCACAAGGTGGGGGGCACGGGCTGGGGGACATAGGGCTGGGTGACCTGACACCAGCTGCTCATGGCCTCCTGCCCTGCTGCAGCTTCAGTCCTGCCTGATGAGGAACCAGCTCCGGCACCCGCTGCCCGTGCGCACCTCGCGGCCGCAGCGGGGCATCCTCACCACCTCTTCTGAACAGGTTTGCATGGGGCCATATGGCATCTCCAGTTAGTAGGCAGGGATGCTCGGGGGGGGGCTGCAACCTGCCCATGCCCCTACTGACCCATCACTACATTGTCTGGGAAAGTGATGGCAAGAGAGGGAACTGGCAATGCTGCTCCAGAACATGACGCAGCCTCTCCACACTCCAGATGGTGAATGAGACCTGTCTGAGCATGCAGAAGCACGTGGATATGCTCAGTACGTGTGCAGCCAGGGAGGTGGAAGAGGACATCCTGTGCGCCGAGGAGGCCATCAGGAATGCCAACCTCTCTGTCAGTGTGAGTCTGCTGCAAGGGAAACCCCCCAGCAAACCTGGCTTCCATGTGGGATTGAAGCAGGATATTGATTAGTTAATGACATAATTAACCACCAGTCAGGGAACACCAGGATGCTCAATGCCCCAGATGTACATCACCAAGTGCAAGCTGTGAATTTCTGAGTCCCCTTCTAGAACAAGGCCCAACATGTCCATAATCCCCTTCCCCCCAGGGGCACACAGTTGCATACACCCTCCTAGGAAGGGGGGGTTACAAGTGCAGCCCCTCTTCAGCAAGAGCCCCACACCCTGCTCATGCACCTTCTATGGGAGAGGTGAGCGCTCCAGCTTTGGCACACCCCAAAACCCACAGATGCCCACACTGGTGAGAAACACTCCTCACATCCCCGAGGGGACCCTCATTAGGGCACACTCATCCCACCCCAGCTGGGCGCAGCCCAGTGGTGAGGATGCTCCATCATGCCCATGATGAAGGCCACTGCACTGGCTGGGCAGCTCCTGGTGCTGTCAGCCGTGGTTTGATCCTCCTGATCCTGCTTCTTTCTCCCCATCACACCTTTACCTCCTCTACTTCTCTTCAGACTACCTCCTTTTCTTTTTTCCCAACTCTTTTGGCACCCCACTGGGTAAATAATCCAATGGGGGTGATAGGATTTAAGAGACAGTACTGATGGTGGAAAGGTGGTGAAAGGGATGAGAAAGGGTCTCCTCTGATGTGGGCAGCAGCATGGCTGTGTGCAGGGGCTGAAGGTCAGTGGGTAGTTGGGATTAGCTGGGGGGACACAGAGACCATGAAGGGCCAGGATGCCCAACCCTGACCCAATCAGAAGGTCACTGGGTATCCCCAGTTATTGCAAGTGATGTTCTTCCATGGGCTGTGCATGGAAGGATGGAAAGCAAGGGTGAAGTGCCACGGGATGATCTACACTGTCTCTCTTCCCATGGCAGATCCTTCCCCTCTTGTATGAAGCAGGAAACACCCCATACCAGAACAGCAAGCTGCAGCACAAGCTAGAGTGTCTCATGGAGGAGGCATCACAGACCTGTGGCCGGGAGATCCAGGTGGGAACCCACAGGGAGCTGCCAACAGCATGGGATGACCATTGTCCTCAGCCCAAGGATAAGGGACATGGCATCTCCACATGAATCCTGATAGAAGAGATACTGAACCCTTCCCTTTCCTGCCCAAACTCCAGGCGATCATGCAGGCAACGCTGGACATGGCGCACAGCCTGTGCCCAGCCGTGGTGCAGAAGAGTGGAGTCAGGGACCAGCTGGTCAATGCTATGTCAGAGAGGATCTACCTCCAGGACCACCTCAACCTCAGCACTGTCCTGGACCAGATGGTCACCGATGTTTTCAGCAAGCTGAAGTGGGTGATGTTCCTTGCAGGCACATCCCCATGGCTGGCAGAGGGGAGCCCCGACCATCAATGGGGCGATGCACTTGGCACTCTTCATCCCAGCTAGTGCCTGCTCCCAGTCC